GGGCATTATAATTTTTTTTTTTTTAAGATAAAAATAGAGTTGTCACAGGATCCAGCAATCCCACTTCTGGGCATACACCCAGACAAAACTGCAATTCAAAAAGATACATGCATCCCTGTATTCATAGCCACCCTACTTACAATTGATAAGATTTAGAAACAGTGTAAATCTTCATCAACAGAGAATGGATAAAGAATCCATGGTGTATATGTATGTGTATACACACACAAACACACACACACTCAATGGCATATTACTTAGCCATGGGAATGGGAGCTAATGAAATAACACAACTTGCAGCATGGATGGACCTAGAGATCATCATATTAAGGAAAGTCAATATGAAAGAGAAAGACAAATACCATATGATATTTCTTATAGATAGAATCTACATACACAAATTAACATATCTATGAAACAGAAGCAAACTCAGACAGAGAAAGGACTTGCAGTTGCCATAAGGGAAAGGAGGCAGGGGAAGGAAGGACTGGGAGTTTGGGATTAGCAGATACAAACTATTATTCAGAGAATAGAATACACCAAGGCCTATTGATTCATCACAGAGTATTGACTACAGTTCCCTGTGTTATAGTTCCCTTCATTGTATAGCACAAAGAACTATAATCAATATTCTGTGATGAATCATAATGGAAAAGAATATGAAAAGGAACATATTATATATATATAAATGAATCACTTTGCTATACAGCAGAAATTAACACACTAAATCAACTATACTCCACTAAAATTTGTTTAAAAAAAGATAACACTGACTACACAATGTGGAAATGAATCAGAAAGGGATAAGCTGAAGAGGAAAAATATCAGTAGCAGAGTTTATTTAATAATCCAAGGGATAGTGGGTTGATTTTTAAATTGAGTGTAAAACTTTCCAAAATCAGAGTAAGTCATATCTAAGCTATTCTGGCAGCTAAATATTTGGCTCTGTGTATTTCAGCCAGTGGGGTAACACAGAAAAGCAGGGTCAACAGAAAAGGCAACAGGAACAACCACAGGTTAGTCTGTCTGAATCTGCAGGAAGTGGCTGACCTACAACAGCATCTCTCCATCCTGATGCTCATCAGGACCACCAGAGAACTTTTAAAATGCTGATGCTAAGACAGAGATACTGATTTAACTTATGTGAGTTGGGATCTTGGAAACATCCCCATGAGGGATCAGCAGGGAGGGCTGAGATTCAACAAGAGACAATGAGTCTATCCAAAAATTCAGACCTATCTATTTCAGCTCGTTAATTTAGGCTTCTCAGTCAAAGGTGCTGCTGCTGTTGCTGCTAAGTCGCTTCAGTCGTGTCTGACTCTGTGAGACCCCATAGACGGCAGCCCACCAGGTTCTGCCATCCCTGGGATTCTCCAGGCAAGAACACTAGAGTGGGTTACCATTTCCTTCTCCAATGCACGAAAGTGAAAAGTGAAAGTGAAGTCGTTCAGTCGTGTCTGACTCTTTGCCAACCCCATGGACTGCAGCCTACCAGGCTCCTCTGTCCATGGGATTTTCCAGGCAAGAGTACTGGAGTGGGTTGCCATTGCCTTCTCCGCAATCAAAGGTAGATGATCTCAAATTTTAGTAGGCTTCAGAAGTCCATGGAGAGTTTGTCAAGGCTCTGATGGGCCCAACTCTCAGAGCTGCTGATTCAGTATGCCTGAGTGGGACCTGAAAACTTACATGTATAACTGATACTAAGGCACTGCTGCTGGTCCAAAAACCAGATTTTGAGAACCACTAGTCTAAGGTAATCAATTTGGAAATGAAAACTTTAAAAATGATTTTTTTTTTTTACTGGAGGAACTGACTTTTCTTATTCTTTTATTACTTTAGATACATAGAATCTTTTTAGTTTCACACCCTGTATACTGTAAAAACATCAAAATGGAAACAAAAATGAAGAAACTATGGTAGGATTTTATCACAGATGTGAGAAGTAAATAGAGCCTTGAAGTATTTCCTCAAAATACAATCTATACTGACTCTTAGTTTTTTTTTTAAAAATTTAGAATGAGAGAATATATAATAATATGATGGTTCACTATTGTTCATGATTTATAAAAGCTTGCCCACCATAATCATGACTGACTAATGTTTCTGTATAAAATGAGTCTGCAACTTATGACAAACCCAGCATCTGGGGTTGGTCAGCTATCTCATAACTCAGTCAAACTCTGATCATGTTGATTCATTATTATTTTTGTGATACTATTGTTTTTTCAATTCTTTAGGAACCTTTGTTAGTTTAAAAAAGACTTTTTTTCTGGAAAAGTATTAGCAAAGAAATTTTTATTTTAGTCAAGTCTGGTGTGTTTCTCGAATGTACACAAATCGTTTCAAAGCTCTCATTAAAAGTTAAACCTTACCTTTACTTTAACTGTATAATCAAGTATAACTTAGGTCAGGAATTTAATGGCTCTTCATATAAAATAACTTTCAGTATTTTAAAAAAATGACTTCCACAATGTCAAAATTCTTAGTAATACTTTTTCTGCTTAGCACATTAACCTTTCTTATGTCAACTGGTGAATCTTATGGATAGTAAGGAATTTTCATATTGAATAATTTTAAAAAACCACGTTTCAAAATGCTTGGCATGTGTTGTACAAACTGTACACCAGTATTATTTTCAACAATAGCGAAATGAAATATAATACTCAAAAGCAAAAACATACCACCACAGACTTTTATTTCTAAAAATGTACCAGTATCAAACATCACCAAAACTATGAATATAAAAATAAAACCATCAAAATGAAATGATGCTGTTTTGAAATGAAGGAACGGCCTGGCTTTTTCCCAATTAGGAGAGAAAAATCTGGCTCAACAAATGGATTCTGAACTGAGTATGGAAGGCAAATAGATCTGGCTTTATTGGACCGTGACCCAGAGCTCTGGACTTTTCTTGTCATTAACTCAGAACACTTTACCAAGCTGGAATATTCTAGAAGTAAGTGGCTGTTAAATTAGCTTTGGGGAGAATCTTAAAAATTGGCAGGAAAAGCCAACAAACAACACTTTTTATTAACTTATTCCAGATTAAACCACGGAACATGAGAACTTTTAATCAATTTTGGATGCTTCTTGACTATACCTTTACCCAAAGATTTCCTGATACACCTGCATTCAGTAAGATGGCCCCTGCACACACCAAAACTCCATTACAAAAGAAACTATGTGGTTTCTACTGCAATCTCACGGTTGTCACTTCCATGCTCTTTAGAACTCTTAATTTATCCCGAACAATTCCAGCATTTCATGGCAACAGCAAATTATTTTAAGATACATTAAAACTGTAGACAAAAAGACCTGAAGATGAAGCATCTGTAAGCCCATAGTGGATTTACTGTTTCTAGTTCATATCGTGCAAAGGCATTTTGAAAAATCATTGTTTTGTCAGAAATAATTTGTGGAGTAACTAATAACCATTCAAGAAATATTTACTAAACACCAATGCAAGACATGGTATTAACACTTCTCAATAGAGGTTTAGTTTCTCTTTAAGGGTATAGATTGCTTATCATTATTTATTCATAAGCAAAAGAGACACATTTAGGTAAAAACAATCATAAAATGTCTGAATGGTTAAACATATAGAACCATTAGCCATTAAAAGAATATTAGTATAGATTGTATTTTTATAATAAGGAGTATTTGATTAAAATTAGATATTGAGATAAAATAGAAAGCTTGGCATATTATTGACTTTTTGATGTTTTAAGTATTTAATATTTTCATTTGGAAGTAAAATCTAATTCAGTTATCTTGTAAGACTGTACAAGAATATAATTTTGAATATTTTGAGAAAAAAGGAACAATAAATATTAAGAAATGAATCAAAGTACGAATTAAATATTTATGGCACTCCTGTCTCTTTCCCCTTTGTTTTGTACCAAGAAGAGTGACAAATTTGAAATACTTGCCTCTAGTCAATACAGTAAATAATGTGGTCAAGCAGGAAGCCCAAGGAAAATCATATAACATGATTTATGGTTCCTGGAAGTGACTATGTGTACAGGTTTATAAATACACAATTGAATCAAAACACTTTAAACAAGAGGAACTAGAGATAATCTATTTCCACAGTCTCATCTACCCATGAAGAAATTAAAACTCAGAGCTAATAGTAGCCCTCTTTGTAGGTATCCTTTTCTCCTATTTGCCTGTAGTATTAACAGCACATCTAGTTGACACTTTTTCATGTGGTCTAGAATAAACAGAAAACCTGCCTGGTGGCTCTGAAACTTTCATGTGCTGATGTGTTTGTTGGACAGGACCCACACCCTGACATCAAGTTCAGTAAGTCTGAATTGGGCCCAGGTATATGCAGTTTTAAGTGACTGGCATGAAGTCATCCCAGGTTAGTGCTGAGAAATACAAAACTGCAAACTGCAAGTTTTTAAAAGGGATGTTATGTTGAGTGAGCACACTTTCAAACAAGTCACAGCTTTTTCATTAAACTATAATGGCTTTTCCTTACCTTTGCAACTCTAAGGAAAAGGGAATGCTTGTTTAATCAAGAAACTGGGGGGACCACAGTTTCTACACTTGACAATCAAAACTACATGGGATCCTCCTGAGACTACAGATTCACTGGGCCTTTTCCTGTAGAGTGTTATTTACGGGGAGATATGTGATGGGACCCAGGAATCTGTAGTTTTCAGAGTCTTTCCTGGAATTCTGAAAACCAACCCAATTTGAAAAACATACCATGATCTGTTGTGTTAAAACAGGCTACGTGGTTCTAAACTCTGGCTTACAGAATCACCAAGAGGACTCAAGAAAACGCTTACCTCCAGAGCTTCTGGACGGGTCGGCCTGCAGTGGTTCTGAGAATTTGCACTGTTTCAGGCTCCCAGGTGATGTTGATACCTTGCGAAACTCTGGGCTAAACTGCTCTGCAAACTGAGGCAGAAGGTTCACAGGAAAACGCCCAGAAGCCGCTGCAGTTTCGCTGCTGAAACCCGGGCCTCTGCTCCTGCTGCCCGAAGAGCATGGAAATGGCGGCCGCCGCTTTTTTCAGGCCTGGAGCAGGTGCTTCCCATTCCCGAAACCTGAACGCGAACCTCCTGGGCGAGACTCTGGCCCATGGAGCTCCCAGGCTTCTTGGGGGAGAGGGGGCACGGCCGGCGTGGAGAGGGGCTGCGGGCGGGAAGCAGGGGAGGGGAAAGCCTGTAGGCACGTAGGTTTTATTAGCAGTTTGTCCCCAAATTAGGTAAGTCAGTGATCATACTGGAAACAACACGGGGACTTCCCCGATGGTCCAGTAACTAAGACTCCCGGCTCCCAGTGCAGGGGACTTGGCATACAATCGCACGCCCTACAGGCCCTGGCCAGGGAACTAGATCTCGCCTGTGGCAACTAGAGTTCGCAGGTGCGAATGAAGAGCCGGCATGCGGCAAGGAAGATAGAAGATCCGGCCAGTGGTGGCCAAGACCCCGCTTAGCCAAATAAATACATTTAAAAATAGTAATAATACAAAGTGTGGGTCAACACACACACAAATTACCTCATTTTTTCATTTAACTTGTGCGCTGAATGTTACTACGTGCTACCCAGATACGCCTCAGGACAGGCACACTTACTTCCTCCCTGCTGGGCGGTTGCTGGGAGTGATGCGGCCGGCAGCCCTCCGCTCTCTTCAGGAACGGCCTCGTTTGATGGGAGTAACTGCCCTCAGGCCTGCTCCACTTTAGGAATAGCCAGTATCCAGTGACTGGACATCTGGGGTCCCTGCCAAAACTGAATTATCTTGTAAACTTTAGAGGTCTAGGTAGGTTGCTAAGGTCTTCATCGTGATTGCATAAAACCTACCTTCTCCATCTTCCAGATCTGATTGATTGATTGATTGGTTGGTTGGTTTTTGGCTGCTCTGGGTATTCCTTGCTACGCACAGGCTTTCTCTAGTTGTGGCCGGTGCGGGTTGCTCTCCGGTTGGCATGCTCAGGCTTCTCATTGCCTTGGCTTCCCTTGTTGCAGAGCTCAGGCTCTAGGCATGCAGGCTCAGTAGCTGCAACTTGTGGGCTCTAGAGCACAGGTTCAGTAGTTGTGGTGACCAAGCTTACTTGCCCTGTGGCAAGTAGGATTTTCCCAGACCACGGCTAGAACACGTTTCCCCTGCATTGACAGGCGAATTTTTAATCACTGGATCACCAGGGAAGTCCTATCTGCTTAATTGTATTTCCTTGTCTTCACTCACCCTTCAAGAAAATGCCCCCCAAATCTTCCTGCACCCAAATCTCCACTCAGATGATCACATTGCAGGTTCTATTAATAAGAAAAACACAAGAGAAATTAGATATAAATTATTAAAGAGAAAAAAAATTTCTACCTGGGGAAAAAACTAAAGAAAATGAATAAATGCAAAAACTCATAAAAATTCCATGAGAGGATCAATAAAAGAATAAAACACAAAAGTCTATTAGAGAGTTGGTGCTGGGAAACCCGGGGCTAATGTTGACAACAGGCTCGAGATTGTCTTGGGTAACATAATGCCAGCTGAGCGTAAAAAGCCAGCAAGTATGGAAGAAAAAGAATCTTTACTAAACAGCAAGGAGAAAGACTGCAGTGAAAGGCGGCCAGTGAACAGCAGGGAGAAACCAAAAGAGGAGATCAAGCTTACCGCCAAGAAGGAGTTTATTAAGGTCCCTGAAGATAAGAAGAAGATAAAAGAAAAAAAGAAGACAAGGAACGCAAGAAAAAAGAAGAAGAAAAGGTGAAGGCAGAGGAGGAATTAAAGAAAAAAGAGGAAGAAGAAAAAAAGAAACATGAAGAAGAGGAGAGAAAGAAGCAAGAAGAACAGGTGAAACGTCAGCAGGAAGAAGAGGCTGCCCAGTTGAAAGAGAAAGAGGAATCCCTTCAGCTTCATCAGGAAGCTTGGGAACGACATCAGTTAAGGAAAGAACTTCGCAGCAAAAACCAAAATGCTCCAGACAACCGACCAGAGGAAAATTTCTTTAGCTGACTAGATTCGAGTTTGAAGAAAAATACCGCTTTTGTCAAGAAACTAAAAACTATTACAGAACAACAGAGAGACTCCTTGTCCCATGATTTTAATGGCCTAAATTTAAGCAAATACATTGCAGAGGCTGTAGCTTCTATTGTGGAAGCAAAGCTAAAAATATCCGACGTGAATTGTGCTGTGCACTTGTGCTCGCTGTTTCACCAGCGCTATGCTGACTTTGCCCCATCACTTCTTCAAGTTTGGAAAAAACATTTTGAAGCCAGGAAAGAAGAGAAAACACCTAACATTACCAAGTTAAGAACTGATTTGCGTTTCATTGCAGAATTGACAATAGTTGGGATTTTCACTGACAAGGAAGGTCTTTCCTTAATCTATGAACAGCTGAAAAATATTATTAATGCTGATCGAGAGTCCCATACTCATGTTTCTGTGGTGATTAGTTTTTGTCAACATTGTGGAGATGATATTGCTGGGCTTGTACCAAGGAGAGTAAAGAGTGCTGCAGAGAAGTTTAATTTGAGTTTTCCTCCTAGTGAGATAATTAGTCCAGAGAAACAGCAACCTTTCCAGAATCTTTTAAAAGAATACTTTACGTCTTTGACCAAACATCTGAAAAGGGACCACAGGGAGCTACAGAATACTGAGAGACAAAACAGGCATATTCTACATTCTAAAGGGGAGTTAAGTGAAGATAGACATAAACAGTATGAAGAATTTGCTATGTCTCATCAAAAGCTATTGGCAAATTCTCAATCCTTAGCAGACCTTTTGGATGAAAATATGCCAGATCTTCCTCAAGATAAACCAACACCAGAAGAGCATGGGCCTGGAATTGATATATTTACACCTAGTAAACCTGGAGAATATGACTTAGAAGGTGGTATATGGGAAGATGAAGATGCTCGGAATTTTTACGAGAACCTCATTGATTTGAAAGCTTTTGTTCCAGCCATCTTGTTTAAAGATAATGGAAAAAAGTTGTCAGAATAAAGAGTCCAGCAAAGATGATTCCAAAGAAACAAAGGAACCTAAGGATAATAAAGAGGTATCAAGTCCTGATGATTTGGAGCTTGAGTTGGAGAACCTGGAAATTAATGATGACACATTGGAGCTAGAGGGTGGAGATGAAGCTGAAGATCTTACAAAGAAACTTCTTGATGAGTAAGAACAAGAGGATGAAGAAGCCAGCACTGGATCTCATCTCAAGCTCATAGTAGATGCTTTCCTCCAGCAATTACCCAACTGTGTCAACCGTGATCTGATAGACAAGGCAGCGATGGACTTTTGCATGAACATGAACACGAAAGCAAATAGGAAGAAGTTGGTACGGGCGCTCTTTATAGTTCCCAGACAAAGGTTGGATTTGCTACCATTTTATGCAAGATTGGTTGCTACATTGCATCCCTGCATGTCTGATGTAGCAGAGGATCTTTGTTCCATGCTGAGGGGGGATTTCAGATTTCATGTACGAAAAAAGGACCAGATCAATATTGAAACAAAGAACAAAACTGTTCGTTTTATTGGAGAACTCACTAAGTTTAAGATGTTCACAAAAAATGATACACTGCATTGTTTAAAGATGCTTCTATCAGACTTTTCCCATCACCATATTGAAATGGCATGTACCCTACTGGAAACATGTGGAAGATTTCTTTTCAGATCTCCAGAATCTCACCTGAGGACCAGTGTACTTTTGGAACAAATGATGAGAAAGAAACAAGCGATGCATCTCGATGCTAGATATGTCACAATGGTGGAGAATGCATATTACTACTGCAACCCACCTCCAGCTGAAAAAACAGTGAAAAAGAAACGTCCTCCTCTTCAAGAATATGTCCGGAAGCTTTTGTACAAAGATCTCTCCAAGGTTACCACCGAGAAGGTTTTGAGACAGATGAGAAAGTTGCCTTGGCAGGATCAAGAAGTGAAAGACTATGTGATTTGTTGTATGATAAACATCTGGAACGTGAAATACAAAAGCATTCACTGTGTAGCCAACCTCTTAGCAGGACTAGTGCTCTACCAGGAAGATGTTGGAATCCATGTTGTGGATGGAGTTTTAGAAGATATTCGATTAGGAATGGAGGTTAATCAACCTAAATTTAATCAGAGACGTATCAGCAGTGCCAAGTTCTTAGGGGAACTTTATAATTACAGAATGATGGAATCAGCTGTTATTTTTAGAACTCTTTATTCTCTTACTTCATTTGGTGTTAACTCTGATGGCTCTCCAAGTTCACTGGACCCTCCTGAGCACCTTTTCAGGATTAGACTGGTGTGCACTATTTTGGATACCTGTGGCCAGTACTTTGACAGAGGTTCCAGTAAACGAAAACTCGATTGCTTCCTTGTGTATTTTCAGCGTTATGTTTGGTGGAAGAAAAGTTTGGAGGTTTGGACAAAAGACCATCCATTTCCTATTGACATAGATTACATGATCAGTGACACACTAGAACTGCTAAGACCAAAGATCAAACTCTGTAATTCTCTGGAAGAATCCATCAGGCAGGTACACGACTTGGAACGAGAATTCTTAATAAAACTAGGCCTAGTAAATGACAAAGACTCTAAAGATTCTATGACAGAAGGAGAAAATCTTGAAGAAGATGAAGAAGAAGAAGAAGAAGGAGGAGCTGAAACAGAGGAACAATCTGGAAATGAAAGTGAAGTGAATGAGCCAGAGGAAGAGGAGGGTTCTGATAATGATGATGATGAAGGAGAGGAGGAAGAGGAAGAGAATACAGATTATCTCACGGATTCAAATAAAGAGAATGAAACTGATGAAGAAAATACTGAGGTAATGATTAAAGGAGGTGGACTGAAACATGTACCTTGTGTAGAAGATGAGGACTTCATTCAAGCTCTGGATAAAATGATGCTCAAAAACCTTCAGCAACGAAGTGGTGAATCTGTTAAAGTGCACCAGCTTGATGTTGCCATTCCCTTGCACCTCAAAAGCCAGCTAAGGAAAGGACCCCCACTCGGTGGTGGGGAGGGAGAGACAGAGTCTGCAGACACAATGCCGTTTGTCATGTTAACCAGAAAAGGCAATAAGCAACAGTTTAAGATCCTTAATGTACCCATGTCTTCCCAACTTGCTGCAAATCATTGGAACCAGCAACAAGCAGAACAAGAAGAGAGGATGAGAATGAAAAAGCTCACACTAGATATCAATGAACGGCAAGAACAAGAAGATTATCAAGAGATGCTGCAATCTCTTGCCCAACGCCCAGCTCCAGCAAACACCAATCGGGAGCGGCGGCCTCGTTACCAACACCCAAAGGGAGCGCCTAATGCGGATCTACTCTTTAAGACTGGTGGGAGGAGACATTGATCCAGCAGCACGTGTCATTTCATTAGGTCCTGTATCTGATGTTGTGGATAGTGGAGTCCTCCAGCAACTGAATGAGAGCAGTGGACACATCTCAGCATGTCGGTCTAGAGAGTTGCAAATCTAAACCTGGACAGGCTGGGGCCATGAGGCAGAAACAGCAGCCTCTGCCAACACCGGAACAAGCCGACGCTTCCAGACAAGGTGGAAAAGGCCTTTTGTAGTGGAAATCACATGAGGGTTCATCTTCTCTTGAGAATGGCAGTCAAGAAATGAGGTGGTTGACTTGACTTCTGAGCAGTTACACCGGGAAGAGCGTCAGTGAGATGACTGAGCCGGAGAAGAGACGGTTGTAATGGTAATGGTATGGGGGAAATGAACTTGAGTTTAAACTTGATTTGAGTTTCAGTGTCTCTGAATTGAACATCCCATGTTGAAAGAAGATACATTTGGGGGCTCCAGAACTATAGTAGAAAAGTATAGAGCAAGCAGTAAAATCTTCTAGTGAAAACTTACATGCAGGACAGCAAAATGATGAAAGATATCCAGGTACCAGATAATCCACCAGGAAGGCTTTTGTTTAGGAATCTCTTTCATGAGGAACAAGGGATGGGGGAGAAAAATCAGTTTTATCCACCAGAGTCAGTAATACAACATTGCCTATTAGGGTAAAGGGAAAATGTGAAGATGATTAGTACCCACAGCATGAACCCAGATGGCTTAGGGGGGTCTGACACCAGCCTCAGAATAGGGATAGTCGAGCCCATTGTAAGTATCATTGAAAACAAACAGCGTGCCAGGCAGACACCACAGAAGATGGACGAAGGACAGCGAGAAGGGGATCTGGAGATTTTGTTGACTTTCATGAGTTTACAGCCTCTGTCTCTAAACAAAGTATGGAAACAGTAGAGCTTTTATTTTGCTTTTGTTTTTGTTTTGTTTTGTTTTTCCCCCACTACATAGAAATGAGAGTTCTTAGTCTGTTTCTGGCCAATCTGTTAATTTATTAGGATAGTTGTCTTTCGTTTGCTTTCCAGTAGGCATAGTGAATTTAGTTGAAGAGCAAGCACATCTGTAAGCTACAACTTGATTACATCTTTTTTTCTAGCTGTTTTGCATTTTTTCTTTTACCATGTTTTAGTTTCTGCATGTAGAATTAAATAAGAAACAAAACTGTAAAGTTGTAACATTTCACATGGAAATGCTGCCCGATCTTCACCAGCTTCAGAAATTGACCTTTGCCGATGCTGCAATAAAGTGGTGTAATTTTTAAAAAAAAAAAAAGTCTATTAGAATCTAAAAGAGCAATACAATAAAAATCTAAGGCCCTTCACGTCTCAACAAACAGAAATTGAAAATGTAATGGCAAAATTCCGGGTAACAACAAACAGATTTATCAGCCTAGATATAATTCTGAAAAGCAAAATAAAGCACATGAGATACATGAAATAAATTTGAAATTTAAATAATGGAGGGTAATGAGGAGGAATGTTTTGTCCTACCAGTTATCAAAATACAGTAATTTTATCAATATTGGATGAGGAATAGATATAAGTATCAAACAAGAGTCTAAAACATGCTCATGAATATATGAGGATTTAATCTGTGATAAAAGTTGCAACATTTACAAGCAGGGAAAGAATGAACTAGTCTAACAACAGCATTGGAGAAGGCGATGGCACCCCACTCCAGTACTCTTGCCTGGAAAATCCCATGGATGGAGGAGCCCGGTGGGCTGCGGTCCATGGAGTCACTAAGAGTTGGACACAACTGAGCGACTTCACTTTCACTTTTCACTTTCATGCACTGGAGAAGGAAATGACAACCCACTCCAGTGTTCTTGCCTGGAGAATCCCAGGGACAGTGGAGCCTGGTTGGCTGCCGTCTATGGAGTCACACAGAGTTGGACACGACTGAAGTGACTTAGCAGCAGCAGCAACAGCAACAACAGTATTGAAATGAGTGACTAAGCATTTGCAAAACTGTCAGATTTATAAGTCATATCATACACCATAAGGTTAACTCTTCACTTACTACTTAATCCTTTAATTCCCGTCCTTCTTTTCACTTCCACAAATTCATTGTTGATTTTCCTCGTCTTTACTATATGTTCCTCCTCTCCCTTTCTGTTCTGTCAAGAATGAAGCATACTTGTCTTTCCCATCTTAAACAGCTAGTCACAACAGAGGGAAAAACTCTCAACCTGCTTCTTGGAGCTACCACCATATTTGTTTGTTTGATGGAAAGAGTTGCCAGTGTTACTGTCTGTGCTTCTTCCCCTCCGGCTCCCCCTCCTGCAGCAGCCTGCCTTCAGACCCAGGACTCACACGGTTCTCTGGAAACAGGTTCTGTGACCAGAGAATTCTGGACTAAACGGGTGTGAGGACATTGTCTCCGGAGACGCGCTAGTAAGAAAGTGAAGGGGCAGGATTGAGAAGATGGAGAAAGTGACATTCAGTGTATTAATAGTTCCTGTTGAGGCCCCAGTTGATCCTGTGGGGGATCTCTCACTTGGAATCCCTCCAAGTGAAGCAAGGGTGCTGGGCCTTTAAACCCCCACGTCAGACAGTTGCTGGGCTAGGCTGCCTTATGTGTGGTGGTGCCCTGCAACTGAGGACAGCTGCCTATGGGGATGGAGACTCTTGGCTGAGGATGGGGTGGCTGGTCCTACAGTGGGGACCTGGGTGGAATCACAGTATCTGCCACATCTCTGCTCTGAGGGGCTTACAACCACTTGCTTTCTAGGTGATTTGTCCCCATCAGGGTAAACCTTTTCCAGGGGTCTGGTTGGCCTTATTTCCTGGAGGGAAAATTATGAGAAAAGGGTTGGTAAGATGAACTGCAGTTCCTGTTGCTGAGTCTGATCTCAGAACTAAAACTGATCCTCACCATCTCTCTCCACCACCCATTCTAGACTCCCACTCCCCTTAGCCAGCACCTCTGCTGGTCCAGGCAGTTTGCCTGTACGGATGTGAGCTACACCATCATTCCTGAAGGGCTGGGGCCCCTGGTTACTGTGCCATTTCCAGGCTGTGGCTGTTTCTCTATACGCCATCGACAACAGGCATGGCGGAGCCACAGGCATCCCAGTGGATCAGCTGAGGGCCAGACACATTCATCCCTACTGTACTGGGTAACAGCTGCCCTGCCTCCCCCTGAAGATGGGATTCATCACCACTGCTGGGAGGGCGGCTCCTTTCTTTCCCTGCTGGCCCCATGGCAGGAGGATCTCTAAGGTGGCAGCAGGAGTTAATGCTACTGTTAGCGGAAGCGAGAACCTCTAGGTCTGTGGAATCTACAACTATATGGGTGGAAAACACAAATTCCTTCAAAGTGGATCTTTGAGAGTTGTAATCAGAGCCACTCCGACTTTAACCCTTTGGTTCCCAAGCTCCAGAATTCTCCCTACTGTGGACACAGCTCCATGGAATACTAGTTGATTACAGTTGTAGATGATACCCTGGAAGGTGTAGATGATGCCCTGGAAGGCATAGATGATACCCTGGAAGGCGTAGATGATACCCTGGAAGGCATAGATGATACCCTGGAAGGCGTAGATGATAGCCTGGAAGGCGTAGATGATACCCTGGAAGGCGTAGATGATACCCTGGAAGGCGTAGATGATACCCTGGAAGGCGTAGATGATACCCTGGAAGGCGTAGATGATACCCTGGAAGGCGTAGATGATGCCCTGGAAGGCGTAGATGATAGCCTGGAAGGCGTAGATGATACCCTGGAAGGCGTAGATGATAGCCTGGAAGGCGTAGATGATAGCCTGGAAGGCGTAGATGATACCCTGGAAGGCGTAGATGATGCCCTGGAAGGCGTAGATGATGCCCTGGAAGGCGTAGATGATGCCCTGGAAGGCGTAGATGATGCCCTGGAAGGCGTAGATGATGCCCTGGAAGGCGTAGATGATACCCTGGAAGGTGGTGCCATCCTCTCTGGGTGCCCTCTTACCAGCAAGCTGGCACCTCAGCTATGCTTTTAAGAGGCCAATCCATCTCCATCAAGCTGCTTGGTTCTGAGTTGTGCAGTTAAGTGATAGGACCTGCAGAGCCCTTGATTGTGTGCAAGGCCAGGATAGTGTGAGGCAAGAGAGGCAGGCGGGGTGCAACACTCAAGAGGCACTAATCTCAGGCCACATCTTTCCACACAAATTGACTGATCAGGTCCACCAATAAGGGCTCTGCCCATCAGGTGGCCAGCCCTGAAAATTCCTCACAATATGAAAGGGCTTATAGTGAAAAGTAATCATCTCCCCTCAGTCTCCATTTTACTTCCCCCTGAAAGATAAACATGATTGTAGATAGCACATATATATCTAGAAGATCTATGCTTATACAAGCACATACACATATACTATACACATGCGACCATTTTATCTACAGATTTTTTTAATACTTTGTTCATAACCGTAGTTTTAAAAATTTATCATAGCTTAGAAATGATTTCATTGATTATATAGAGCTATCATTGTATATATATTGAGAGACCTATTGTATATATAGATCACTATAATTCATTGGTGGACATTTAGGTTGCTTTCAATCTTTTGTTATGAAAACAGCATTGTAATAGATAAGCCACAATTTAAGTTTTGATAGATAAGATTTAAATATTATGGCATTTCAATTTTTGAATGAGGGAGAGCATCTTTTCATATGTAAAAGACATTCATATTTCCATCTTTAGTGGATGGTTGGCTAATATCATTTGCTTATTTTAATTGGTTTATAGATTTTTTTTCTCTGTTTATAGGCTCTTTTAGTTATTTTTATAATTTGTGTTATAATTTTTGTTGCATAAATTTATCTTTTATGTTTTTATTTATGATGTCTGTGCCCTTTTTTCTAGCCTCTCATAAATTACTTCATATTTTACTTTAGTATTTTATCATTTCATATCCTACATTTACATCTCTTTAGCATTTTAAAAATATAAAAGCAGGATGGATGGATACTTTTTACTTGTCATACCATCAGTTACTGAAAAATCCATCT